TGGCACTTGTCAGCTGCCAATGCCACTGGACGCGGGGAGTTTGTGGTTGGTGTCCATGGACCATGTCCGTGGAGAGCTCCCGTTTGGTTTGCAAGACGGATATCGTTCAGAGCAAGTGGCGAGCTGAATCTGCCAGGTTCCTGCCATGCCATTGTGGAGTTTTCCCGACATCGAGTTTTTTTGTTGAGTTTGGGAAGATGGAGGGTGAATATGGGAGCGGAGTAGGAACGGCCAGTGGCCTGGAGCGGGGGTGGAGGGATCCTGCCAGCGGAGCAAGAATGGCAGCCAGCAGCCCAGAGCAAAGATGGCTACTGGTTGGGAAGTGGTGGAGTCAGACCACATGGAAGCACTTATGGAAAGACTGTAATGTCTATCGGTTTTAACTTTATTTCTTGTTTTCCTAACTTATACTATTTATATCTGTAATGTAGGGTAATTTTTTTTCTTTATCTTCTCTTTTCTTTGGACTTAGGCACTTTGTATCTAAGATGGCGCCATGTGTTGGCAACATTGTACACTTTTCACAGCACTGTGGCTCAGTGGTTAGCACTGCTGCCTCACAGCACCAGGGACCCGGGTTCGATTCCACCCTCGGGTGACTGTCTGTTTGGAGTTTGCACATTCTCCCCGTGTCTGTGTGGGTTTCCTCCGGGTGATCCAGTTTCCTCCCACAGTCCAAAGATGTGCAGGCTAGGTGGATTGGCCATGCTAAATTGCTCATAGTGTTCAGGGATGTATAGATTAGGTGGGTTAGACACGGGAAATGCAAGGGTAGGGGAATGGGTCTGGGTGGGATGCTCTTCAGAGGGGCAGTGTGGACTTGTTGAGCCAAATGGCTTGTTTCCACACTGTAGGGATTCTATGACTGTTCCTCTGCTCTTTCATAACTTGAGTATACGTGATAACAAACCTAATTCTAATTCTATTAATGATTGAGATTTGGGCAGTTAACAAGGTATTTAACGAGCAACGATCACTGTCAATTGGCAACTCCCCACTGCCTATTGAGAATCTCTCCATGCTACTTATGCAAAGTATTAAAGATGGCATGAATTGCTCCCAGCTCAAGATAAGCGTCACTGCACTTGTCATCCAATTCTACCACACATCTTGCCAGAGCACACATCACCCCTCTAACATTCAGCCCATCGTCTCAAAGACTTTTCTACCAAACACCTTCACATTGTTAAACAGATTTTTTAGGTCACCCCTGTTTTATTTCTTTTTTGTTCCAAACGACCCAGTCTTAGGTTGGAGAGACTTGCAGAGAGGGGAGGGGTGAACGATAAAGTGAAGGGGGCAATTCCAATTTGCAATGAGTGCAAATCATTGGCAGATTGGGATTAAGAAGCAGAATGTAACAAATAATCAAAACATGGAAATTAGATGAAATTGTGAGTTTTTTCCTTGTATTCTTAATGAGAAGACAACACGATATTTCCAAGTAATGTGCATCATCGATTAACTTAAAGTACGCCCCATTGATGTCATTTCAAGTAATCGAGAAAAGATTCTTACTGCGACATTTGCATTTTCTATGCCAGCCAGTAGATCAGTTAGTTGCTTGCTCACTCAGTTACACAAATTATGGATAGTATTATGCACCCCTCCAATAAGGGATTTCCACAAAGTGTCAGGAGCTGGCTTTCCATAAACAAAACGAGAATTACTATCCTTGAGTCTGTGATGGATTTGGTTCCAACCATCAGGAAGAAAAGAACAACATATTCAACACTGCTGCCTCACAGCGCCAGGGATCCGAGTTCGTTTCCACCCTCGGGTGACTGTCTGTGTGGAGTTTGCACATTCTCCCTCTGTCTGCGTGGGTTTCCTCCGGGTGCTCCGGTTTCCTCCCACAGTCCAGAGATGTGCAGGCTAGGTGGATTGGCCATGCTAAATTGCCCATAGTGTTCAGGGATGTATAGATTAGGTGGGTTATAGGGGGATGGGCCTGGGTGGGATGGTCCAAGGATCAGTGTGGATTTGTTGGGCGGAAGGGCCTATTTCCACACTGTAGGAAATCTATCCTAAAAAAAGTCTATAATATTCTGACTATACTACCCTGCATCCAGTCCCAACAGTGAGATGGGGTGGAGGGCTCATTTTCTGCTTGGGAACTCTGTAGCCTTTAGGTGTCAATATTGAGTTCGATAATTTTAGGGCCTGAGCACCTCCTTCCATGTCCTTTACCCACCCCCACACCCTGTCATGACATGGCTATTGCATTGTCATGATTGGATGACAATCTTCTCTACATTATTTTAATCTATTATGGGATGTGGGCATTGCTGGCTTAGCCAATATTTGTTGCCCATCCCTCAATAAGAATCTTATCTTGGTTAAGCATCAACCACATTTTGCTGTGGATCTGGATGTACACAAACCAGACCAAGTAAGGACGGCAGATTTCTCTCCACTGAAGGACATTATTGCATCAAATGGGTTTTCACAACAATCCGTGGTTACATGGTCACCACTAGCCAGCTTTTAATTATATTCAAATTTCACCATCTGTGATGCTGGGGCTTGTCCCCAGAACATTAAACTGGGGTTCCAGATTACTGGGCCAGTGAATTTATCACTGCATCATCACCTCCCCTTGACATCCTCCAAGCAGACTCCAACACCCATCAAGATGAACACTTAAATAGAAGGCCTTCCAACTCATGTGTTAAACTGAGTAATGTTATCTATTGATTTGTCTATGTGCTTACCACAACATCTCCAATGCCTTTCATTACTGTGTTTCCCATTTTAGAACTGTTGATTACATGGTGTGTGTTGAGATGAGTTCCCCCGAGACCACTTTGACATTGAATACCTCGACCACATAAGCTCCAAATGATTATGAGCCCATATTTTTCTCCTTAAAAGAATAAGAAAGGGATGTCCACCAACAGGGAGGCAGTCCCACTGAAGAGACGACGGATCCATTTTCACTGCTGTTAAGATTTTACTCAGGACACTTAAGTTGTTTAGAAACACATGAATAGGACACTGATGTAAACATCAGGTACTGGTGACTTGACCCAGTTGGTATCCTTATAGCAGGTTCAAGTCACTAGACCAATGGTTTGGTGCAACATTGAAGGAGTGTTACACTGTCAGAGGTTTCAAGTCCACCTGAGCCACCAAAGTGGACAGGTAACCAGACCTCGTGGTACAATTTGAAGCAAATGAGGATGCACTTGTTTGGCATTGCTCCTCAACCCCTGCAGCTGAAATTAAATGAACACCTTAGCTCGGTGAACTCTTGCTGTTCACCTTCATAATGGTCACAACCTTTAACGTAATGAGACATTCCACACATGCTATTCTTTGAAGTGCACAATTTTGCAAATCTGTGCTGCAGATAGAGGAGCCTCCACATCAACGATGGAAACTTGAACAATTATCCTCAAAGGCTGGCAGGAGTAAAGCATGTAATCTATGTCACTCATTACCATCAATATTCAAGGCATTCAATGAGAGAGGCTCAACCGATTCTGAGCTGCAAAACTGAGTTCATTAAAACCTCCCCATGAAAAGGCAACTCAGTTACTGAAAAATAATTTAAATTTCCCCACAAAAATAACATTATTCTGAGCAGCCACAAAATATTCAAGCCCCACCCCCGCCTTCACTCCTGCTGAAACCTCTGCAAATGCACTTGCATCATAAGTGGCATAAGTTGCAGTTAGGTTGAGTTCTCTGTTTTATCCTCTAGAGGAATTGGTGAATAGTTACATCTGATGTGACTGATGAAAGTAAAACATCTAAACAGAGCAGAGTTTGAAAGGCGGGAGTTACAGCAGCATTGGAAGGAATGGCACAATGAAAAAGACAATAGAACTATTTATAAAGACAGACTGTACCAAAAGACAAATGGAATGCAGTTCATTACCTTATTGCAGAACTTCGTTAGCTTATCATAGTCAACAACTGAGGATGTGTTTTGACTGACTCACAAAACATACAATTGGTCAAATCATTCCATCTTGCCCAGCTAAGTGAACGACCTCCATTTTTCTCAGTATCGTATTAGTTAATCTCAAGTAGGAATATTACAGTAAAGGGGGTGGCCAGAACACTGTCCTTGATGCAAAACTCGGAATTTGTGCTCACGATCTCCGTGTTGCACGTTGTTAATTTCTGCCCTGCTTTCTCAGCACAGAGGCAAAGGAACATGAAAAGTAGAAGATTGGACCTGGAGGCATCCTGAAGGTTAGATTCATTGCTGTTTTATAATCACATTAATTGGCTCAAGACATCATTGAGAGAGGAGCAGATGGAGGACTTACTTCCTTTAATGGAGTGGAGTGTTGCACTGGGAAGGGGTTTCTTAAAATAAGAATTTATTTCTGCCTTTAACAACCTCAGAGCAGCCAAATCACTTGTGAAGTTTAGTCATTGGTCCAATGTAGGAAGTATTGGAACTATTTTGCACACAGCTAGGTCCCATAAACAGCAACATGATAATGGACTGGGAAGCTGTAGTCGAGGGATAAATTTTAACTCGCACACGGGGACAACCCCTCTGCTGCTTTTCAAAGTAGTGCCATGTGATCTTTATTGCTCACTTCAGTGTATAGAGGGCACTTTGGTTTAACATTGCATTTGCACAACTAACAGTGTACTGCTGCTTATCAACTGTGCTGGATGAAAAGCCTTGAATTTGCATTCAAGTCTTTGGAGTGGAATTTTAATCCATTACCTACAGATTTGGACAGGATTACTACAGTGTACAGATTGTACTTCAACGTGACAAAAACTTTTAAGAGTTACAAAATTTACAGAAAGGTCCAACCCTGAGAGATATTGTAGTCTCCTCATCTAAATGTCTTGTGATACTAATGTCACATTTGTTTGAACTCATTGTACCAGATTTAAGTTTAGTTTCTGAACCAACTTCCTTAGATACTGCAGTGACTTGTGTCTTTCTAAGCTCATATCAATACTCAAACTCTCTCTGAACATTAGGGATAAGAAGCAAGTCTCAATCACCTCAGAAAGCACATGTATAAGTTTATAAAAAGATTTTATTTGAAAAAAAAACTCTAGTCCAAGATCTCTCCAGTAAATGGCAAACATTTAGGACAGGAAATGGATTATTATCCATGAAGTACTTTGCGCCTTCCAAATCTCCAACTCATGGCTTTGAAATAAAAAGAGTATACAGACTTTAGTGGTGCTACATTGTGACATAATTTCAGAGTTACAATAAAACCCTCCTGTCAAAAAACAATGCCAGTAAAGAAAAATGACAGTTTCTCTTCTGATCTTGTCATCAGTTGTTCAAAAATGTTGTGTGTAGCTCAGTTCAGTTCTTGCAAAAAGAAGCCTTCAGGTGTGATGGCCAAGAAGGCTTAGAAAATTAATGATCAAGATTTCTGCAGAGACAGGTGATGTTGACAGTTTGAATGGGGTTAAAAAGGGACAATTGATATACAATAATAAAAAGAACCACTACAAGCCTAGAGATTTGTAAGGCGTTCTACATGGAAATTATATCATTGCAGAAATGTACTGTACACGTCAGACTCTCAGGTTTATAAGCAAAAGGAGATTTTTTTTTTAAAAAAGCAATGATTAAAAAGGCAGTTCTTTTACATTAAATTCTACAGATTAGAAGATTACAACAAAAGCTTGGTAAAAGGTATTTTGGTGAGGGGTGGCTGTATAGATTGTGCTGCAGCTCAGATCAACAAGAAGGTGGGTTATACTGTCCAGTTTCTAGAAACTTCCTCACATGCCCTTCTTCCCCTTCTTACCTGTTCAAAAAGATACAAAAGAAAAATATTGGTACATATAGATTTACAGCAAGTCATCATTGTTTTAATTCTCATGCAAGTGGAGCCATGGCTCAACCAGCCAGTTGCAATTATTTGCTATCTATATTAATTACTTGGAGGAGGGGACACAGTGTAATATATCCAAATTTGCTGATGATACAAAAATAGGTGGGAGAGCATGGAGCGATGAGGATATCAGAAATCTGCACCAGGATACAGACAGGTTTGAGTGAGTGGGCAAAAACTTGGCAGATAAGAGTTTCATGTAGGGAAGTGTGAAGTCATGTACTTTTTTTAAAAGAAGAATCAAAGGACAAGCTACTATTTAAACAGAGAGAGACTTCATTAAAGTGCAGTTCAGCAGGGCCTGGATGTTCTTGTGCACGAAACATAAAAAAAATTGGTGCAGGTGCAGTAAGTAATTAAGGTGGCCAGTGGAATTTTGTTTTTTTTTATTGCTAGGGTTTTGGAGTTTAAAAATAGAAAGGTCTTATTACAACAGTGCAGGGTGTTGGTGAGGCCACACCTGGAGCACTTTGTACCGTTTTAGCCCTCATATTGAAGAAAGCATGTACTGGCACTAGAGGCAGTTCAAACAGATTCACTAAGCTGACTCCTGCAATAAAGGGTTGATCCATCAAAAAACAGCTTAAACAGGTTAGGCCTTTATGCATTGGGGATAGAAGAATGAGGCATGATCTTATTGAAACTTATAAAAATTGTGAGGGGGCTTGACAGGTCAATGTCGAGGTGATGTTTTCACTTGTAGGGGAATTTTGAACTAGGAAATATAGTTACAGAATAAGGGGACACTCATTTAAAATTGAAATGCAAAGAAGTTTCTTCTCAGATGGTGGTTAATGTCTGGAATTCTCTATCCCCAGTTTTGGAGGCTAGATGATTTGAAGTATTGAAGAGGAGGGAGACAGACATTTGTAATATAGAGGAGTTGAGGCCTATTGAGGGGCTGGCACAAATTGAGGCCTGGTGCAGATCATCCATAAACTTACAGAACGGTGGGGTAGAGTTGAGGGTCTGAACATTCTACGCTTGCTCATATGTCTTATGCTGTTAGGATTGGTGAGTAGCTGGCAAGTTCTTTTCGTCCAGATCAGGCAAGAATCTTAAGTTTATTTCTGTTAACTTTAGTTAATCCAACAGACAGAACCATAGTAGGGTACCTCAGTCACATTGAATACACTTCCTCCACCAATATGTAAACTTCCAGGACATTTCGAGCATTGTGGACAATCGCATGTGCACAAAATGTCATCAGCTAGAACTGCTCATGTTTTATAACTTAAGCAGTGCTCAGGTTGTGCAGATAGTTCACTTCTGGGGGCGATTTCACTTCCAGTACCTGAACATCACTTAATGTACCTTTGCTTTCACTTAAAGTCCTACTTAGCCTCACCGTTCACCCCTAATCTGGAATACCGTCACTCAATTGTGTGCACAGTCGCAATCATTTCAACTAATGGGTAGCGTGATTCTGTTTTTGGTCACTGTCCAATCTCGTGCCCTATCACGGTCTCACCCAACACAACCTTTGCAACCTCCTCCACCTTTTTATCACCATGGCTACTTCACAGAATCACAGAAGTTTTACAGTGCAGAAAGACACCATTTGGCCCATCAGGCCTGCGTTGACTCTTTAAACAAGCATCATTACCTAGTGCCAAACCCCTGCTTTCTCCCTCCCATACCGTTGTATGATATTTCTATCCAAGTAATCATCCAAAGTCCTCGAGTGCCTCAATAGAACCTCTGTCCACCACATTTCCAGGCAGTGAACACCATTCCTGAAACTACTCACTGAGTGAAAAAGTTTTCCCTCACATCACCCTTGCTTCTTTTGCACGTCACTTTAAAATTGATGCACTTCCATTCTTGTTCCTTTTACTTCTTCCGACTCTGGCCTTTCAGTTGCCTTCGTCATCTCTCTCCACTGACCCACTGGTGACAAAGCCTTTAGCTATTCAGCCCTTGCCTGGAGTTTCCTCCATAAAACCCTCCATCATTTTTTTGGCTAAAAACTTCCAAACACCAAACCTATTTTCTCTCTCTGTGACCTGGCATTGACTCCCCCATTTACTTTGGGGTTTGTAAAGCCCAAAGTAATACCTTGGGAGGTGCTATACGATAGTGACGTGCTGAGAGAACCCATGCCTGTTTTCCTCAGCCATGTGTTACCAACATGGTATGCATAGCCCTGTCCCTTCAGATATCAGTGAATAAAGTGATCACTGGTCACCGAGGCATTCCTGTGGTGGATAACTCTGTTCATGGCCTGGTTAAATTTGAGGAAAATAGAAATCTATAAAGTTTATACTGATTACTGGGTGAAACCACAGAATCATTTCAGATGTCTACATATGCTATCAACATCTTCCTCATAATTTCAAAAGAAAGGGGATCCTTTTATCGAACTTTCCCTCCAAGCTAATTATTTTACACTCCTTTGCAAATTCATAAACGACCGCTATCGTGTGGAATCAATGGGTATCAAGGGGCAAACTCTCCACAGATTACCTGACACATAGGAAGATGGCTGTGGTTGTTGGAGGTCAGTCATCCCAGCTCCAGGACATCTCTGCAGGAGTTCCCCAGGGCACTGTCCTAGGCCCAACCATCCTCAACTGCTTCATCAATGTCCTTCCCTCCATCATAAGGTCAGAAATGGGGATGTTCGCTAATGATCCCACAATGTTCAGCACCATTTGTAAATCCTCAGATACTGAAGCAGTCCATGTTCAAATGGAACAAGACCTGGACAATATCCAGGCTTGGGCTAACAAGTGGCAAGTAACATCTGTGCCACACAAATGCCAGGCAGTGACCATCTTCAACAAGAGACAATCTAATGCAATGGTGTTACCATTACTAAATCCCCCACTATCAACATCTGTGGAGTTACCATTAACCAGAAACTCAACTGGACTTGTCACGTAAATACAGTGGCTACAAGAGCACGTCAGAGACTGGGAATACCTCAGTGAGTAACTCACCTCCCAACTCCCCAAAGTCTGTCCACAAGGCACAAGTCAGGAGTGTGATGGAATATTCCCCACTTGCCTGGATGGGTGCAGCCCCAACAACACTCAAGAAACTTGACACCATCCTGGACAAAGCAGCCCGCTTGATTAGCACTACATCCACAAGGATCCACTCCCTCCACCATCAACGCTCAGTCACAGCAGTGTGTACTATCTACAAGATGCACTGCAAAAATTCATGCAAGAACCTTAGGCTGCACCCTCCAAACCCACAACCACTTCAATCTAGAAGGATAAGTGCAGCAGACACATAGGAACATCACCACCTGTAAGCTCTCCTCCAAGCCACTCACCATCCTGTTCCTTCACTGTCACTACTGGGTCAAAATCCTCGAATTCCCTCCTTTGTTGTTGGGGCTGCACTCATCCAGGGAAGTGGGGAGTACATCACACTCCTGACTTGTGCCTTGTGGACAGACTTCGGGGAGTTAGTAGGTGAGTTACTCACTGCAGTTCACTACAGCGGTTCAGGAAGGCAGCTCAGCCCCACCTTCTCAAGGGCACCTAGATTGGGCAATAAATGCAGACCAGCCAACAACACCCATATTCCATGTCTGAGTAGAAAAAAAAAGGACAAGAGCAGATACCATTCATATAAACACTCCAGCTAGACCGAGCATTCAAACTCAGTCAGACAATCCAGCAACTAGTGTTCCAAACTTACATTTTTAAAGAATGGGCTCCCTAGCTGTTTTAAAGGCACAGTCCCTGGCTATCACTTGGCTGTCAGGTGTTCTGAAGGGTCCCATTCTAAGCTACAGTTCTCCATAGGTTTGCACACACCCAGAAAAGGTAGCAGGTATTAGATCTTTAGTTTCTCCCTCAGAAGGCCGGATTATGGTACTGACCTTTTGATTTTGACTTAGATTTATCACAGGACTTTGTGACATTCACTGACTGCTCACACTCCGCATTGAACAGGGCCTTCTTTAGGGTTCCGTTGCGGGTTTTTAGACCAGTCTCGGTGTCACACTCGCCCCAGTTTCCAAACTTGTACTTGCAGTCACCTGTGAAGATAGTGTTGGAAGTCAGGAATCAATGACGTCATCCCTGGCTAGACAGTTTCTAGTCAACCTGCTCAGAGATGTTATTACACACCACTGCAGCAGCTGGGGCTTGAACCCGGGCCTCCTGGCTGAGAGATAGGGTCACTGCCACTGCACCACACGAGCCCCCACAACAGCTTTTCTTAAACTTTTATTTTAAATTTCCTTGCGTACTTCTGCAGCAGGTGGGACTTGAGCCTGGGGTTTTTGATCCAAAGGTAGGGACACTACCACTGTACCACAATAACATCCAACATATTAGGACTGCATGGTGGCTGAGTGGTTAGTGCTACTGCCTCACAGCACCAGGGACCTGGGCTTGATTCCACCTTTGGGTAACTGTCTGTGTGGAGTTTGCATATTCCCCCCACTGTCTGTGTGGGTTTCCTCTGGGTTCTCCAGTTTCTTCCCACAGTCCAAAGTTGCGCAGGTTAGGTGGATTGGCCATAGTGTTCAGGGACATGCAGGCTAGGTGCATTAGCCACGGGAAATGCAAGGTGAGAGGGATAGGGTGGGGGTTGTGGACATTCTTTGGAGGGTTGGTGTGGACTCAATGGCCTGATTCCACACTGTGGGGATTCTGTGCAGATATTTTCCAGTCAATGTGTTCAGAGATGTTATTACACACCCTTGGACAGGGTGAGACTTGAACCCCAGTCTCCTGGTCCAGGGGTAGGGACTCTACCTCTGCACCGCAAGAGGGCCCATATTGCCCTGCTAGTCCAAAGTGGCTGATAAAATTCACTTGATCCTAATGAACTGAACTAAGCCTCGGGCCATCAACAATTGACTTATTTCTGTTTTCCCTGTCTCCTGCCTACAAACATCACTTCAATGTTTGTCCAGTTCTGGTTGCCCAGTTATAGGAAGGATATTATCAATCTGGAGAGGGTTCAGAAATGATTTACCAGGATGTTGCCAGGTATGGAAGGTTTGAGTTATAAAGAATGGCTGGATAGATTGGGACTTTTTTCATTGGAGCATAGGACGTTGAGAGGTGACCTGATAGAAGTTTATAAAATAATGAGGGGTATTGATAAGGTTAATGGTAGTTGTCTTTTCCCTAGGATGGGGAATTTCAAGACTAGGGGGCACACTTTTAAGGTGAGAGGAGAGAGATTTAAAAAAGACATAGAAGGCAAATTTTTTACTCAGAGGGTGATTCACATGTGGATCGAATTTCCTGAGGAAGTGGTGGATGGGGGTACAGTTACAATATTTAAAAGACATTTGGATAAGTACATGAATAGGAAAGATTTGGAGGGATATGGGCCAGGAGCAGGCAGGTGGGACTAGTTTAATTTGGGATTATGTTCAGCATGGACTGGTTGGACCAAAGGGTCTGATTCCATGCTGTATGACTCTATGTCCCAGCAGTAAGAGAAGTTGAGAATGCATCCGTAGAGGGATTAAAGCATACATTTATGCAATGTCGGGCATGATCATGAGGTTTATCAGAGTAGTTTATAGCCAATTGGAAGCATGGTTGCTGTTGTAGTGCAGGAAATGAGGCGGTAATTTCACACACACTGAGTTCTCACAAACAGCAATGCTGAAAAAGTGAGATAATGTGTTTTTGTGATGCTGGTTGAGGGATAAATATTGAGCAGGACACCAGGTAGGACCTCCCTACTCTTCCTCGAAATAGTGCCAGAGTCTTTCGCATCCTCCAGAACAGGCAGTTGGTGCCTCAATTTATTATCTCAGCCAAACAACAGCATCACTAACAGTGTGGCAGTACCCTAGTACTGCACAGGGGAGCATCAGCCTTGAATTTAAGGTCCAGGCCCTGGAGAGGGAGTCACAATTGGATCCTCAGAGGGGATCAACAGAGCACAGCTGCAGTAGAGAAAGAAAGTAAGGCAGCTCACAAACACAAAAGGGTGCTGCAGTGAAATTTTGGCAGTTATGAGCAGCCTTGAGAGAAAGAGAAAAAGAGCATGCAAGAACAAAATGAGAAGGAGCCAAAGAGAATGAATGTTCACAATCATTTACTGTTCACAATCATTTACTGATCACTAAATGCAACTTAAAATGAATCAACTACATGAGCAGGACACACAAATAACAAAAGCAATTCTGCCCAAATGAGAAAATAAAAGGTGTAATGTCAGCTTAAAATTACCCCATTACAGTAACTGCTGTACAATGAACACGGGCTCAAAGCTGTTTTGTTCCAGTAGTGAGCAATTTAAAACAGCCAATAAAAGTTTCTCTACTGGTAATAATGTACAATAAGGGTCTATGACTCTGTAATATCAACCAGATGGTTAAATGCATCCACAAACATATGGCTTTAGTATATTAAACACATGACTTTGGGAAAGCAGCCAGGGGCAATTACTCCAACAATGAAGTACACCACAGCATATTTGATGCATGTATATGCCTCAGCATTCTTCATCAGGTTATCAGCATTCCCATGGCTCTCGAACAGCCTGTTAAAAGTTGCCGTTGGCTATTCCTGGCAGTAGATGCTTTGTCCATTCCTGCACTTTTTTTTAAGTGCGGTTGGGGCGAGGGCATGGAAACGAATGAAGATTGCAGAGCTAGAAAGAGATGATGCTCTGTTAAAACCAGACCTACAACCAAAACACTCACCTCCAAATTGCTTTTTCCAGTTACATGGCACCTTGCACTTCACAGTCTTAGTCTCTTCCTTTTCCTTGCAAGTTCCCTCACGGAGTCCAGTGCCACAGTCACCAGAGGCTGGCTCACATGCTCCCCACTGCCATTCTCTGCAGGCTGAGCTCGACTTCTTCCCTTTCTCTGTAAGACAAATGTGATACCAAGTGTGTACTTTAGAGTTTGATTAGGGAAAGAGGTGGAACAAGATTACTGGAAGGGGGAAAAAAAAAGTTCAAAGCCCATTCTTTAGTTTGCCTCAAGTTCACAAGTAGCTGGTACTCTATGACTTACTTCTGCAGTTTAAATACACGATATTGCGAAGGAGATCTGGGATAACCAGGAATATGGAGGAAGACCATTCAGCCTCTTGGGCTATTATTCAAGATATCAAAGAAGATTTTACATCCCAACTTGGACCAACCATCCAGGTTCTGAAGAAAATCCCTCAACTATCTTGGAACATTCATTCAGACACCAAGGAAGATGGCTCAGCCCAGTTTGATCTAACCATAAAACGGAAGGTATCCAGTACACATCTGGTCTTCCATCCAGAAGGAACCTACAAATCTAATATTGCAAACTCCAACTTCTTCCTTAACAACTGCAGCATTTTTAGAAGACCCCACCATCCTCCCTTGGAAGCTTGATTTCAAAATTTCACTCTGGACAATGTATCTTTTGTTTCAAACAAAGTATCTTCCACTTGAAGAAGTAATGAAGAGGAATAATGAGGGCAGAGCGGTGAACGTGATCTACATGGACTTCAGTAAGGTGTTTGACAAAGGTTCCTCATGGTAGACTGGTTAGCAGGGTTAGATCATATGGAATACAGGGAGAACTAGCTATTTGGATACAGAGCAGGCTTGAAGGTAGCGGGTGGTGGAGGGTTGCTTTTCTGACTGGAGGCCTGTGACCAGTGATGTGCCACAAGGATCAGTCCTGGGTCCACCGTTGGCATTTTGTCATTTACATAAATGATTTGGATGTGAAATTAGGAGGTATGGTTAGTAATTTCACAGATGACACCAAAACTGAAGGTGTAGTGGACAGTGAAGAAGGTTACCTCAGAGTACAACGGGATCTTGATCAGATGTGCCAATGGGCTGAGAAGCGGCAAATGGAATTTAATTTAGATAAATGGGAGGTACTGCATTTTGGAAAGGCAAACCAGGGCAGAACTTATACACTTAGTGGTAAGGTCCTGGGGAGTGTTGCTGAACAAAGAAATCTTGGAGATAGTAAGAACTGCAAATGCTGGAGTCAGAGTTAATACAGTGTGGAGCATCAGAGGAGCAGGAAAGTTGACATTTCGGGTTTACTCTCTTCATCAGGACTGGGGAGTGTATGTTCATAGTTCCTTGAAAGTAGAGTCACAGGTAGATAGGATAGTGAAGAAAGTGTTTAGTATGCTTGCCTTTATTGGTCAGTGCATTGAGTATAGGAGTTGGGAGGTCATGTTGCAGCTGTACAGGACATTGGTTAGGCCACTTTTGGAATACTGTGTTCAGTTCTGGTCTCCCTGCTATAGGAAGGATGTTGTGAAACTTGAAACAGTTCAGAAAAGATTTACAAGGATATTGCCAGGGTTGGAGGAGTTAAGCTATAGGCAGAGGTTGAATAGGCTGGGGCTATTTTCCCTGGAGTGTCGAAGGCTGAGGGGTGACCTTATAGAGGTTTATAAAATCACGAGGGGCATGGATAGGGTAAATAGACAGGGTCTTTTCCCTGGGGTGGGGGAGTCTAAAACTAGAGGGTACAGGTTTAAGGTGAGAGGGGAAAGATTTAGAAAGGGCCTTAAGGGGCAACTTTTTCATGCAGAGGGTGGTGCGTGTATGGAATGAGCTGCCAGGGGAAGTGGTGGAGGCTGGTACAATTACAACATTTAAAAGGCGTCTGGATGGGTATATGAATAGGAAGGGTTTAGAGGGATATGGGCCAAATGCTGGCAAATGGGACTGGATCTACGTAAGGATATCTGGTTGGTGTGGACGAGTTGGGCCAAAGGGTCTGTTTCCATGCTGTACATCTCTATGACTCTATAATCTTTAATCCTTTCTAATGCCGCTGCTGGTGTTTAAATATTTTTGGGAAAAAACCTCACTATCTCTGTCACATCTGTTACAAATTCCTTTTCTTGGTGTGTGTTTGCGCTGTTGGAAGCAGCAAGCACAGTGTAGCATTCAGAGCATAGACCGTACAAAAAGGCTGTCACATTTGACTGTTTCCAGATATTAGTAACATTCAATACTGCCTAGGAACAGCTGCTGGGTCTTGTTTTCAGAAAGTCACTCAAAAACAATTCTGGGTCACAGATAGTTGGAGAAGACCACAGAGACAAAGGCAGTTTCCATACAGAAAAACCACTCACCATCCTAACTTGGAAATACATCGGCGTTCCTTCATCATTGCTGGGTCAAAACCCTGGAACTTCCTCCCTAACAACATTCTGGGTCTACCTACAGCACAGTTCAGGAAAGCAGCTCACCACTACCTTCTCACAGCCAGCTAGCGATGGCCAATAAATGCTCTGATGCCTACATCCAATGAATGCATCAAAAGAAATAATTTGGACTGTGTTTGAATTTGATGACCAGGTCGGAAGTGGGGCATTACTTCTTATTTTTATTTCTGTCAAGGTCAGTGAGGACTTTCCATGACCAAACAAGTTTTACAGATTTATTGGTTTGGTGATCGTTCACTTGTGTGTGTAGACTGGGCTCAGTCTCTGAGGAGTAGGGCTAATCAACAAATTGGGCACCCACAATTATCATTTGGCTAACGCCGTCGAAATAAGTTTCTTCGCTGCAGGCAATAAACGGAGCAAGAAGCAACTTTAAATCGGTCCAACATAAGCCAGTTAAAAATGGGGCAGGAAGACTTAGATCCCAGTTGGCGTTTCTGCCTCAATGGAAGAAGAAATTGCCAGTTTTTTGGCAGCAGGTAAATTGAACAGATAATGGCCTTCACATCAATCTGTGGGACAGGTTGCTGGCCACTGGAACTCAGGGTCTATTACTTATCACTACACCAAGCAACCCAGCACATCCAGGGCCAATAACAACAGCAACATCAGGAAGCAAGCTGTAAAAAAAAATGACTATTTCCCAGGCAACATGTCTGAGGCAGCTGACCACTGCCTCAGAATGCCAAGCAAGTGGCTTCAGCTTGCTAAAGCAGAGGTTTCAGGAGATGTAACCAGTTACTATTCCCCAGGCACAGAGGTGGGGGCAAAGTACCATGAGAAGAGATCTACATGAGCCCCATTAACCTCTTGTACCAGAACAGCAGTCAACCTCTTCACACCACACTGGCCATCAGATCACATCTATAGAAAGCACTGCAATAGGAGGAAGAAGGGCATGTTTAGACATCAAGTGGGATCACAGGGTTAAAATCCAAACCGGACTCACTTCTGCTCATTGGGTTGTGTTACTGAGATAATAAAAGCATGGATCAGGAATTTACCAATATTAGTTGGGGTGGAGTCAGACAAAGACAAGACAGTGAGAACGCAGTTTTGGCAACAGAACAGATGTGAGGAAGGAAACATGGTTTAGGATGTAAACAAAGATCCACACCTCTAATTTAACAAAAAATTCTTTATCAACATCAGCACATACATACACATGCGCAGAACGCGAAAAACACAACCTGACTGAAACGCACTCACCTTTTTTGTTCCTGCCAGCTTCAGAAGACCCTGTCATCAGGACTACAAACAGCACAAGCACCAACGAGAAAAGGACATGCAGCTGCATTCTGGGAAGGAAATGACACGTTGTCATTGCTTTATTGGTTCATTGACCCCCAGCACATGGCATTATTCAGGCAGACCTCATATGGTTACTGGGGGACATTTCACCGTAACTGAGCCGGCACTAAGGGAGGTGGTGTTTGCATTACCCCATACACTGCAAACTCAGTGACTCTTTGAAAAGTGTACCTGTAATGGGTATTGGAGCAAGTTATTCAAAAAGAGGCTCCAGGACCTTTGAACCACGCTGCAGTTTGAAATTAATGTTTCACAAAAGCAGACAGGAGGAAAATATGTGGTTAAAAGGGAAAGAAATTTAAGTTCACCACATCATCAGGCTAAGGCAAAACAAATGACAATATCCATTTTACAGAAGGCTGATGGAATTGAGCCTCTCAAGACAGAAAGTCTAACAGAGTATGATAATTAACCAGGTTACTTGTAGATGAGATTGTAGGAACTGCAGATGCTGGAGAATCTGAAATAACAAGGTGTAGAGCTGGATGAACACAGCAGGCCAAGCAGCATCATAGGAGCAGGCTGACGTTTCGGGTCTAGGCCTTGTTATCTCAGATTCTCCAGCATCTGCAGTTCCTACTATCCCAACTTGTAGATGAAATCTTTTCCCTTCCATTTCATAAATTTTCCGCAATGCTCCCGGATGACGCACTGTCCTCACTGTATTTTGATACAAACCTTCATTCAATAAAAGGAGGGCCGAAATAGACTGGCCTCAGTTGTGTAGCAAATTCGTATGGTGGTGTCATTACAGACTGTGAATCAACTCTGCCCCTCCCACAATCACTGCATTCAGGTAGAACCACAAGGAGAACAGGGAGTTCCAGGATCTACTCTGGCACATTTTAAAGGCATCTGGGAAATCGGTTAGGATGCAGGACATGAATTCAAGCTGCACAGTGTTCAGCTTCAAAGTACTTAAACTCCTGTTTGTTAAGTTTTATTTTAAGTTACATGACTGGTATATCTATGATCAACAACCTCTTATTCCTAGTGGCTTAAAACAGGTTCTCTTTCCCCTGTTTGAAAGGCAGAAGTCCACAAGTACTCTGCATGAAGTTTTCCAAAGTCTTGTATTCCATCCCTTCATCAACATACATCAGCACCATATATCACTGGAGTTAGATATACATCAGGAACTCCCTCAATAGAACTGTTTCATTAGAAGAAAACAAGCTGATATTTAAACCAACGAGCAATTTACTGAGAATCATTGCATTTGGAATTTTTGCAAGACCAATTACCCTTCTGTTTAACGTTTGACAGACAAAATCCCAATCTGTCCTCTGGGTTTGAGTTGTCAGTGAGTTCAGTAAGAAACTGAGAGCACTTATTAGATTCCAGAAATTGATCAGACCGAGCAACACAGTGGCCAGAATTTGCAATGGACTTTCATTTGTTCGTCATTACAATACCACCCAGAAAGAACGATCCATAAGAGAGCTTGCCAACTTCCAGCTTGAAGAGAATTTGTATGTCAGCCCAGATCAAATTAAACAGCCAGTCTCCCGACTTTGTGCAGAGGGAAATATTATCTTGATCCAATGTGGCCATTGTGCCTCGCTGGCTCATGATAAATTCAACCATCTCCATACGCAAAGGATCTCTCTCGGTCCACAATAGTGAATGTGTGGTTGCCAATAAATGGTACAGAGTATTGAAGAAACGAACAACAATTACTTTCTGTAGCATTTCATACAATGACTGTGCGGATTGTCCTGAAACACCTGGAAGTGGGTAAACAACAGATCAGACATTGCCAAAGGATCTTTTCAAAAAAAAAAAAATTCAGCCCATCTGCATCTCTGTTAGTAAAGCTGACATAAATGGTTTTAGCAGAAAAGAAGGGCACTTATTCAGCAGTAGTTGCTGATAGGCTTTATGAAGTAGGAGACTGAATTGCCAGGCCTCCCCTCAGCATGTCAATGCTGAACAAGTCCCTGTTGTTCACAAGGGTTCCAAATGCTAGACGAGTTAGCAACAGCCAACTCTGAATCCTGGTCTTTAAAAAGGGAGACTATTTAACACATAAACCACAGTCTGCATCACTTCTCTCTCCCGGTGAGATGTTTTAATGATTTAATGCTTGCCAGCTGGAAGTCCCAATGGCGGTAATTTTTTGGGTAAAACAAACAATGCCCCCTTCATTCATACTAATAGAGAAGGGAACATTACAAAGTTATTCACGGAGGCAAGAGAAAAGGGGGCTAGGGAGGTGTACAAATAATGCTTCCTCAGAAAATCAGGTCCCATTTTCCAACTGGAAGCTAGGCCACTTTTGGATTTGATGGCACCAGTTTTCAAACTACAGGCCTCACAAGCTCAGCATTATCTTCGCTAAAAGGCACACCTTCAACTCACAGAGTTTATAGAATCACAGAATCCCTGGAGTGCAGGGGGAGGCCATTCAGCCCATCGAGTCTGTGCTGAAGGGCATCCCTTCCAATTTTACTTTGTTTATGCAGTTAAATGCTGCGGTTCTAACCTAACCCTGCAATGGTGAGATCAAGGGACCTTTACGTCCATTGGCCATCTTTTACATCCCTCCATTTTTACACTCCATGCCTCTCTCATTGCCACCTGGAGGATAAGATTAAAACGAGGAAAGTGCCAGTGAGCTACACACCAAGCTCTTCACTGTATCTTTGTAATTTTCAAGCACAGCAGAAAAACTAACACAGGTTATGCCAATAAATGTTTGCCAATGGAGGCTCGAGAAATGGTGTTGGATGCAGCTAAGAAGAATCAAGTCTAATGGCTCTCCCCAAAGGCATGGCGCAGGATATAGGGAGATTCAATATACTGTGGGGAAAGGATTGTAAGGAATTTATTCGATTCATTCTCCAAATATGGGCATCATTGGCAAAGCTGAAATTTAGTGTCCATCCCTTGTTGCCATATGTAGTGGGTCTTCTGTATTGAACCACTAGTTTAGGTGAGTCAAGTTACAGACAGCATGCCAGAATTCTGACACTGGGGTTAGATTTTACACATCCCATATGCGTGTGTTTTCAATGGGGGAGAACATTAGATATAAAACAGATGTCTAGCCCACCTCATTCCCAGCCACCAGCTCAATATAGGAGGAGGAGGAGAAGTCACCCAGTAGGCTGCCCCATCCTTCAGCCTATGGAGTCGAATTAATGGAAGTTAAGGACCTCCACTGACCTAAAATAATGGCAGGTCAGAAGCAAAGGTGGTCTTTGAAAGGACTTCTTTCAAAAAGTGGGAAGGAAGGGGTTGTGCATATCAATTGTGGGATGCCCCATGCTCCACGGCATCCCCCTCTTACTTTTGTTCCTCATCACCTGCCCACACCCTAGGCTGTCTCCTACACCTTCTTGTAGTCCCAGCAGTGTCCACTATGGCGTTTTGGCACCACTGAATGTGTGAGAGCTGCTAACCAGAGCTGCTGGAAGCTTGAGGGTGGGATTTCCTCCCATTGAGGGACAGCAAATAACTCAGAGCCTGTTGTCCCACTACCAGCTACTAGACAGGCTTCCTCAAAGTCAGTTCATTCAAGATAAACCCTCCTTCAGGGAGTCAGGGGTTGGGAAAGATAACAGTTTGCCCCTCCCTACCCCAGTCCACTGAAGATGAAGAAGCAAGTTTGATAAATGTTCAAGACAGAATGATGCCTGATTTGGAGGTGATGATCACAGAATCATAGCATCATAGAATCCCTGCAGTGTGGAAACAGGCCCTTCAGCCTAACATGTTCACACCAACCCTGGGAGCATCCCACCCAGATCCATCCTTCTATAACCCGCCTAATCTACACATCCCTGAACACTATGGGCAACTTAGCATGGCCAATCCATCTACCCTGCACATCTTTGGACTGTGGGAGGAAACTGGAGCACCTGGAGGAAACCCACTGGAGCATAGAAGGTTGAGAGGTGACCTTACAGAGGTTTATAAAATCATGAGAGGTATAGATAGGGAAAAAACACCTACCATTAACCCTAGGTTTGGGGGATTTCAAGACTAAGTGGCATATTTTTAAGGTGAGAGGAGAGAGATTTAAAAAAACACATGAGGGGCAATTTTTTTTTATAGAAGATGGTTTGTGTGTGGAATGAACTTCCCAAGGAAGTGGTAGATGTGGGTACAGTTACAACATTTAAAAGACACTTACACAAGTAGATGAAAAAGAAAGATTTGGAGGAATATGGGCCAGGAGCAGGCAAGTGGTCTAGTTTAAAAACCGAAAGAACTGCGGATGCTGTAAATCAGGAACAAAAACAAAGTTGCGGGAAAAGCTCAGCAAGGTCTGGCAGCATCTGTGAAGGAGAAAACAGAGTTAACGTTTCGGGTCTGGTGACCCTTCCTCAGAACTCAAGTTCTGGTCCAGTTTACTTTGGTATTATGCTTGGCAATGGACTGTTTGGACCAAATGGCCTATTTCTGTGCTGTATGACTCTATGCAGAAACGCAGAGCAGACAGCAGCTCTTAGGCAAAGGGAAACCACTGCAAGCATCAAACTACCAAAAGAGATAAAGATTGCTCTCTCTCCTGCGTGCACAATAGAACTTTGAGGCATATGCTTCATGGCAAAACAAACCTGTAGGGACAGCCTTAGTGACCTGCTGCACTGCATCAGTAAGGAACACGATAGCCATGGTGTGCTCATGTAGGAGGGAGTGCATATTTAAATTTCAAGATTATGGTAACTACGATTATCGAAAGAAGGTTGCACACAATACTGAATGGCGAATTGAGAATAATATTGATCACTAGTTTGGGGAAATCATTGATTTCAAACATTGACTGATGCTACCAGACCAGTTGAGTCTGCGCATTTCAGATCTCCAATATTTGTGGTACTTTGTTGGAGAAGTCACTAATCAGGCCCTTGTAATTTTCGTGAGGCCAATTTGATCTTCCTATTTCTAAAGCTTCTGCATATAGCTTTCTGCATGCAACTTCTAAAGGATTGAGGTGCTTGGGAAGAAGGCAGGGAGCTGTTAGAGGATTCAAAAATAG